TTGGTCTTTTAAATAAAATTGGGGTCACCATAGCCACTTTCAATATTCAAATTGACGTTTGTCTTTTAACCTTTAAGTTTGATGTTTTTATTTGCATTTGTTTTGTTTTTTCGACCATTTGATGACCCTAATGACCTATCCTGTGTTGATGGGCTGATAAGTATTTAATAATAATATGATTCATAGCGTGAAATTTGTTTTCTACGCATTGGTTCCAATAGTTTTGCTACTGTGATCTTGTAAAGTTTGTTACAAGTGGGTTGAAATAAGTGGGTTTAAAACCAACAGGTGGTAACAATAATGCTGCTTGCGCGGCGCGATCTACCCTTTCATCACCTGATATTCCCACATTTCAGGGAATCCAGCAAAATGACATTTTGAGGTAATATTATGTAATTATGTTAGCATTTTTAGAATTTACATATTCTGTTGTGAAGGCTTTGTAGAACAGACATAGAATCAGAGTAGATAACTGACTGCGGTACATCATTTGTTTTGTGTTCAATGCTGCCGCATCATTTGGTAGCCAGCATCTTATAGTAACATCTTTCGCTACCGAGGCTGCGGCGACCTTCTGGTCATCTTTCGAACCATCAGTATAACATGATTAAAAGTCCTTACATTCTGACCGCGAAGTGAATTCAATTTCAATAAATTTTATTGTCAACGGACAAATGGATTGGGCAGCAGGCATAGCCTTTTTAAGCCCTTTCCAAACATAGTAACAGACAGTGGTACAAACATAGACATAGACATTAGAACACATACAAACACATATAAACAAGTTGGTATTATCAAATTAATAATCAAATTAGGGGAAACAACTACTAATACTCATTTTTATTATAATTGAATCTAATGGTTTAAATTCTAACATTTTATTTTGATATTGAAAAGACATATAAAATATATACCGGTATATACATATTATGAAGAGAAAAGAAAAATAATTTGTTGATGGAGCTACATGTTTAAACATTTGATGGGATTAAATTACCGCACCCAACAGATACCGGCCAAAATGTCCATTGTATTACACAAAGCTATCCACTGATGAGTTTGGAAATTCAATCCCACCAAATAGTTTAATTTATGCATATTAAACACAGGTTAGATATATAATTAACATGTTGTAAAGCTTTATATTCTTATTTATGTAGTTGTTTCCCAATATTTTTTAATAAAAATAGTATAACTGGTCATCTGAACCCCAGCCCCCCTCACTAACAATATTTAAAAATAAACAATGAAGACAAATAGAAAATATATTATTATTGATATTCATGTACCATTTCTGGAAATCAGAAGAATTACATTGAGAAAAAATAAAATGTAAATAAATAAATAAAGTGGAAATAAAATGTAAAATTTCATTCAAAATTGAAGTTAAATGTCCTGAATCTTCTAGAACTTAAAATGTAATTGGATATAGATAGGAGAATATGTTTATTTTCATTTTCATCACATCTCTCACAACCATTTAGCATGACATCTAATGATAAATGGTTGTGAGTTTCATGGAATATATTCTGAAAAAGTAGAATACGATATTCAGTGTATTTGATACAATCATGGAAGTAATGAGATGCTGTTTCAAATCTAGAACCACAAGAACATGCAGAGGACTCAGTAAGATAATCTTTCTGACGGTCATTATTTAGGTTACTGGCCTCATTTCTCAACTGACAGAGAATAATATTAGTTTCCCTATTTCCTAAAAACTTAAAGACATCAGTTGTTCTTGTGTTTGAATTTGGAATAGGTGTTATTAACTTTTTGAACTGATAGGCGGAACGAATATTGTGAAGGTCTGAAGCGATATTATTTATTTCATTAACCATGGATGGAAAAAAGCTATTAGAATAGTTAACAGTTCGACAAAGAGGAGGATCAAATATTCCAACTGATCTAAGGGGATATCTAGCTAGTGTGGGATCATGAAAATGTGACTCAGTGATCTTAAGTGAATTAAAGTATAAAAACAGTCCCTATCATTTAACAGAGGCTCCCATCACTGGAAATAATAAATCTTAAGGCATCTAATTAGATGAAAAACACTCATTTATAACCCATTGATGATACTTAGTCATCAGGTAATAACAAATCTCTGTCAATAATGTTTACAAACATATGAAGTAATAAGAAACTTTTTCTATGCTTAGATGTATTTTTTTCGCTTTTTCTCACGCTACAGTTTTATCCGTTTGTTGAGAACCTTGGAAACAACTCCTATGACGGTTTGTGCCTCGATATACTTCGGCAGTTAGCCAAGGATATGAACTTCACGTAAGTTTATGGTGTAAATACCGGGAAATGTTCGCCCAGTCATATATTCACCCTTCACCGATGAAAGTGCTTCGAAAGCTGTATACTTTTAAAGAGACGATAAATTCGACTTTTCTATGGAGGGCCAAAGGTAAACTGCGTTGAACCTTTCCCGGTACACAATACGTGGTTGTGACGGAACAATTTGTAATAGTTCTTCACAGATGTAAATTCATAAGGATGTCTGACTTTGTTAAAAAGCAAAACAGATATAAATGTTTCTATTAATTACAGCTGTGTGAGCTATGATTTTAGTCAGTTACAAAAGTGTATAAATAACCCATACATAAAATCGATCTAAGAAGCTGTTACAGGTTTTCACAATATTTAATTTAAAATTGATACGCCTGAAGTAGGGAAAAGATCTAACATTATAAATCTTACGATGTGACTTTGTTATTCATTATTATGTATATTCGGAAAACTGTTTAACTCCCCTGTGAAGGTGGTTGCTTCATGGTTAAGTGACAAGGAGGCAGACAACCATTTTGTAGTATGTTATATGTATTGTCTGCAAAATGTTACCCTTAATATCTTATATTGAAAAGAAAATTGCTTTCCAAAGTTTTAAGCAAACAGTATTTAACAAGTAACAACTTCCTTTATCTTTTGTTTTAAGGTGAACATGTTTGTGTCAGTATGTTGCTATGTTTTGTTTGTTTGGGATTTAACGTCCTCACAAAGGCAAAGTCATATGAAGACGACTGCTTACACCGACGCTAGATAAAAGAAATGTTAAGCTTTAAAGAGTTTTACATCCTTATTAAAGAAAAAGACACTTAAGTTTGGTTATTGAGTTTAACGTCTAATCAACGGCTAAGGTCATTTAAGGACGTGTCTCCATGTGTGTTGTGCATGCCTGCACATGTGTATGTGTGCCGGAGACAGGGTATTGTGGTGTATTTGCCTCCTTGTGATAGCATGGAGCTGATACCAACTTTACAGTGCTATCTTACCAAAGGCACCCAGCACAGCATACCACCCGGTCAAATTATACTGACAACGGATGACCCAGTTGTTTATATTCCCCTTATTGTGCCTCAAAATGTGTAATGTACAATGCATGTGTGCTGGATGACGTATGTAGGTGTATTTGCCTCTTTACGATAGCGCAGATCTGATTCCGGCTTTATAGTGCTACCTCACTGAAATTACATGCCGAAGGCATATTTTACCTTCCTAGCTAGTAATTGTTACTGTATTTGTTCTAGTTATAAACTGACCACGTCGCCAGACCTGGAGTGGGGTGTATCGACCAATCAAGGACGTTGGTCAGGACTTATTGGACAACTCCAACGGAATGTGAGCAAGACAGAGTGGTTTGATTATGCATAAAGAACCATTTGGAAAAGGCTAATACAGGCAATGCCTGAAATCATCCGTAAAAGCAAAAACAAAACAGAAAATTGTGTGTTGGCGTTTAAGCGTACAATCAAGAACATAACAAGGATATCGAGCCATTGGCTGTGACCTGTTAGTTAAATACATTGTGTTTTATAATAAACAAACAATTGGTTCAATATCTTAATCGCTCTATCATTTTTATTAAAGTAAGTTTGCGCAATAGCTAAACTCTTATTACAATGATGACTATGTAGCCGCTTGAATGAGAATTAAAAGCAAAGTTTTCCACAAATAATATAACACAGACTTAAAATTGGATGAGCTACATACGTTTGAACGGGAGGTTTTGTGTACAGTAGTAAAATCACATCCTCGAGTGACTTCAAAAAAGGCGGAAACGTTGACGATCACAATCGATTCAAAATACAGTTATTTTGTCACGTCACACCCTTTGTTTGCACAACCCTACGACACCTTTGCCTAATGATGCTCCAAACCAAATTGGGCTCAAGTCCCTTTACCCATATTAAAGGAAAAGGGTTTTTCAGGATATACCTAGATTTCCGATTTAAGGCCCAGCTCTTCTACATCTGCTCCCAGCGGGGGCCGCACCCTTCGTTGTGTATAAAAAAAATCCATTCGATGAAAAGTTGAAGGACGGAGTTCATTGTACAGGTTTGCATGTCATATCAACAGCTAAGGTCATTTAGGACGTACCTCAATATGTGTATGTATGCCAGAGGCAGGGTATGATAGAGAATTAGACAACGGCGCCGCGCAACGGCATAAGCTGATTTGCCCTTTTCCATTATTTAAGGCAATGTGGGTGTGCAACAATACTATGATATTTGCCGTTTTAGTACTTTAATTTATCGAGTTTGGAGACTATCAATATTGATGGAGTGTATATTCTGGTTAAGCCAGTTCAGAGCAGAAAGAATCCGAATTGAATGTTCTATAGAAATGCAATCATCACTATTAATTTAAGTTGGACACAGAAAGAAGAGGTTTTTATAAGCTTTATTTATTTATAACAATTCTGAACTGTACTTTGCGTGCAATTCATTGATAGCGAAATCCGTTAGTAAGTTGGGTAACGTTTCATGTGACAACACAATTTACCTATTGTAATTCCTTACTTTTATTTTTTATCGAACTTCTTCTTTACAGGAAGTAGATCTGGTGGCGACCACACTAACCGTTCTCAGTGTGCGCGAGGTAATTATGGATTTCACTCATCCATTCTTTTACGATGCTACAATTCTCCTCATGGCAAAGGAAGATCTCAACATCAAAAAGTGGCGGACGTATATCGATCCATTTCACTGGATCCTTCTCGTGTCTATTGGCGCCGGTTTACTTATTGTGTCTACCTGTACTTGTCTACTTGATCGGATGAGTCCATTTCGTATGAAGATGAACCAGCAACCATGGACATTTTTAAACGTTCTATGGTACTTGTATGGTGCACTCATCGGGCGAGGTAAACAGCAATTACTTCTTAGTTCTACTCAATCCTAATAATATCATACAAATGGGATTACTTGAGTTTATTGAATATGTGTGTTAATGTTAGCGACATTAAATATATTTTTATAATAAGCGAAATGCGATCAGAAGTTTCAGTAACATAATGGTACATTGATGTGTCATTCTTCAGTTAAACAAGACTTAGATAACCCTTTGTTTGCAGTTCAATCAATCGTTTAAATGCCTAAGATTTTTATCCGTCAATATCGTTTTGTTTGCGACACAAAATTGCAAAACAGCAATTAACAGAAATACATTCCAATTTAATAACGGATAACTAGAATGTATTACGGATATCAGTTTTGTTTTAAATGGGCAACACATTTTATGAATTATCATTACTTATATTTAAAAAAAAAAAAAACGTTCAGAGATTATGCAGAGAAAAGTATGAGCAATTTTGTTTCTTATTTTTTGCAACACCTATTGCAAATGCCAATGTTTACTGATGCTGGGATACCATACACAACAATAATCTGTTTTCAGACCGCGTAGTAATATTTGATTATATCTTTTATCCCAAAAGGAGGTGGCAGTTTTCAGGGGACACAGGTGACGAAGATAGTTGTTGGAAGTTGGTGGATTTTCTGTGTGGTGTTGATCGCCACGTACACAGGTAATCTAGTGGCTTTCCTCACCGTCACTAAGGACGCCCTCCCCTTCCAAGGTGTGGAGGGAATGATCAAGCAAGACGTTTACACGTGGGGCGTCGTCGGGGGCACGTCATGGGTCACCATGTTCCAGGTACACTAATTTGTTGTGGTTTGTACTGGGTTGCTCGTTATGTTTGCCAAGGTTTGACGTCCTCACAAAAGCTAAGTTTATGTGACAGTTACTAGGATGTTAAACCAAAGATACAAAAATAATCGCAACAGGTGCGTTAGTTCAGGATAGTCAGTGACTTTGACATTACCTTGAAAATTTCCCAAATCTGTTTATTTTTCACACCGAATCTTCGGTTTGATTATTACTATAGCAAAACCATTGTCACAATGAGGCAATATAGTCCTTTGTCTTAATACTTTTAATTAGTTTGAATGTATGGAGATGGGATGCAAAGCATACTTGACTAAGCATAATCATATTTACCGTATTTAATGTATATATATGTATGTAGCTATGTTTTGTTATGTCATGTTTTCCATGTATGTATTTTATAAAAAAAAAAAGTTTAACGAAATCGATCGTTGACTGTCTTAAAACTGGATTTTCAGATGTATGAAGATGCGAGTTTCAATAGAAAATTGACTTTTTATTTTTTGTAACAAATATTTCCTTTTTTCAGTTATCCTCACTTCCGGTTTTTAAGGCAGTGTATGAAGGGATGGTTCGTTTCAACAGGACAGACCCAGATGTTCTTAGCCTGGACCAGAAAGTACATATTGACAAGGTTCTGCGCGGTAACTACGTCCATATTGGAGACAGAAGCCAGATACAAGTAAAGACGGCAAACGAATGTTCTCTGTTTACCGGATCAGCAGAGATCCAACCGGTACAATACAGCTTCGGACTGCCTAACGGGTCACCTTTAACTGACCTCTTCAGTCAAAAGTACGACATTTTACACTTTATAAAATGTATATGTAATGTATCAACTCTATGGTGGAGATAAGAGTAGCATCGTTTCCTGTTTTCCTAGACATATTTTATGTTGACCATGCTGTTAACGCTGGTACCTATTTCCTTAAATATTTGTTTCGGTTTGTTTTGTTTTTATTTTGTTTCACGTCCTATTTACAGCTAATGTCATTTAAGGACGTGTAGTGTATGCGTGCATGTGATTATGTATGGCGGAGACAGGTTATGTGGGTGTGCGTGCCTCCTTGTGATAGCGCGGATCTGATGCCGTCTTTATAGTGCTATCTCACTGAAAACCCAGCACAGCATTTCGCCCGGTCACATTATACTGACAACGGGTGAACCACTCTTTGCCATTACCCCAATTGCTAAACGTCAAGCATGGAATAAAAACTACCATTTTTAAGGACTTTGGTATGCCCGGCTTTAGGACAGAACTCATTGCCTTCCTCACCTAGGCGAATCTGAAACATTAAAGCCAAATGTGATGTATTGCAAAGCAAGGCGCTAGGAAATAAAAGGTAGTTAGAAGAAGAAACAAATATAAAGATCCCAAATATTGCAATTGGTGCAGTACATTTATTTTGGTCGCTTTTGTGTCCCCAAGTTAAGGGCACAAAAGCAAATCCCCAATTTGTTTCAAAATATTCGTCCTAACAACTCCTATGGTCATATGAAAACCATGTTCACAGATAATAGGTCTGCTCAATGACCATTTGCAATTGCCGTCTTGCTCAAATGCCATAATTGTCACGGTAGGATTCCATTTACATCCTAACCTATAATACTACCTGATGGATTGGTTGACGAATGGAGCGTTTTGTTTCAGAAGTACAACAACACAACACTGGACGATAGGTAGGGACCAAAGTACACTCTACTGATCCTTTTATACTATGGGTTTTCTATGTGCAAGTCAGAATTTACATTTTCTTATCCTACCTTTTTTATGTATTTTTACTTCATGCTTCGTTACGCATCCCTTAGCATAATATATTTTTTGGCTATTATGCAGAAGGTTCGCCAGTGTAAGGAAGGCAGTGCGTTCTGTCCTCAACCCAGGACATGTACATATTGTCGCGAATATGGCATTATACACTTGTCATCTGCCGCAATGACAAATAGTAAAATGCCTGGTACAAAAGAGAGGTGTTGGTTGCTCTTCTTCTGGTTCCTCCTTTGCTGACGTTCTGAATCTGTATACGTCATCAAGCTTCCCTTTACACCATCGCACTGCCTGTTTAGCACAACGATGGTCTTGGTTTGGTTTGGTTTAGTATTGTTTAACGTCCTAACAACAGCTATGGTCATTTAAGGACGGTCTCCCCTATGTGCAATATGCATGCGTGTAGTGTATGCGTTTGTGTTTTGGGAGGCTGCGATATTTTCGTGTTTGTCTCCTTGTGATAGAACGGAACTGATGCCGACTTTATAGTACTACCTCACTAAAAAACATACTGCCGAAGACACCCAGCAGGACACACCAACCGGTCACATTATACTGACAATAGGCGAACCAGTCGTCTCACTCTTAGAATTCTGAGCGTTAAGCAGGAGAAGAAATAAAGGCCAAAAGTGAGGCATTGTCAAGGGAGACATAAGAAAGAAGAAAGTTGTTTAGATAGAAGAGAACAGATAAGTTCCCAAATTTAGTCGACTCTTACGATCATGCAATTGGGGCAGCAGGTACAATTCCTACGCCCTACCTGCAGGGAACAACGTTGGTCCACCTAGGAACTCAGTGGGTTCTGTCCCCGGGCCAGGATATATCGAAGTCCTTTAAATATCAGTTTAGTAAATTATTAACATATGATGTTCTTTTGTTTTCCTTCAGAATAATGGCAATGCATGAAAATGGACTGATATCCTTTTGGAAGCGGAGGCGTTGGCCAAAGAGAGACTTCTGTCCTGGAATATTACAGGCTTACACTAAAGTTATCTCCCTTGCCGATATACAGAGTGCGTTCTATCTGTTAGGAGTGGGATTCGTTCTCGCGTTTGTGAGCATTATGTTTGAAGTAACTTTATATGTGGTGAAGGTTTGAGGAATAAAAGAAGAGCATAACCAGATTGCGGGTTGAAAATACAAATTGGCATCTTTAATATGGAACACGTTAGGAACAAAATATCACAGACTGAAACGTCCGTGTATATATTTTTAATACGTTGTCATTGCAGTAAAGTTTTCGAATATACAAAGTTATCCCAATGCAAATATAAATCAAAATCCAAACATTTTCAGTAGTTAGAACTTGTCGTTTGTACTTCATGTGATATGTATTTCATTAAGCTATGATTCTTGTCGTTTGTTAGGAGATTCCTTGAAATGCGTCTTGTAGATATATTTTAACCATAAATCCATGAAGCTTGATGTGAAGCTATCAAATGGACAAATTACACTATATAACGCATGACAACATAGCATTCAAAGATTCCACTTCTATGTAATTTTTGGTTGTGAACTACAATATAACAATACCTGTGATTTCTGCTTAACACATATTGGAGGAGCAAAACTTGATATACAGCCCACTGCAACTCTAGACAATAAGACAATATTAAACACAAGTGAAGCATCGAAAATTATCATAATGACTGTTATTGATTTGCACATACGTTTGTCGTTGTTTTATAATCCAAATGTTTTTTTCACTCCTTGCTTCTCTGTTCCTACTTTAGGTAAAGACTGTTAATATCGTGTGGTCTTGCTGTGAAATGCATCTTGTGTGTCAGTGGACTTATTTTGCAGTCGTAACCAGGTCAAATATATACACAGTAGTTCAAACGTTGTCAAATATATACAAAATGATGATTTATCACATAATGTACTGAGTTACCCAGTGAATATACTCAGACAAATATTTTTTGCGTATTAATCCTTGTAAATGATCCTTCAACCCTGTGATTGGTTGTAATTTTCAATTATTTTTAATTGTGACGTCATACATAGGACAAGTACATGACGTCACAGACTGACGCACTGGAGTCAAAATGGCGTCTTTTTACATTTTCAAGGTTGCATGAAAACTGTCGTTGTACATAAATAAATGCGACAAATCTTGATTATGTGATATAAAAGATGTTACACTCGTTTTCATTTCACATGAAATTTATGAAAGTTTTTCATTTTAGCTCGCAAAAGGCTTGCTAAATTGAAAAATTCCTAGACTCGTTTCATAAATCTCATATGAAATGGAAACTCATGTAGGATCCTATACATACACACGTTTGAATGATATTTCCCCAAATGGAATGGGTATGGGTGCGAACATTAAGTAAAAAGAATCTAACGTCGAGAGGCCCAGGGCCTTAAAGGGTTATCACGATGGAGCATATTTTTATGTCCTTTTTTTCAAATACTACATAAACATATCACGTGAGTCACATTTCGGATTTTGCTGATATACATTCATAAAAATGTATATTTTAAGATAATTATCGGAATTTCTACCAGTCTGACCAACGTTTTGTTCAAGGATTTGTCTGCGTAACGCATGCGCATAGCCCACGATTTCATTATAAACAAAATGGCAAAATTTAGCGAATGAAAACCGTTACCGCGTCAGCTACAAAGCGAAAAGTTGTCAAATGGTCAACAGAGAGCGCAAGGATTAAGTTACGGGAGCATTATTGGAGATGGGAAGTATTCAAATGCGAAAATATCTGCCCTAGCAGTTAATATGGTACATGCATTCTTCCGGACAGCCGGTATCAAGCTGAAATGAAATCGACAGAAATGCTGTTTATATTATGAATAATAATCTATAAATATTTACCTCGCTAGTATCTTTGTCTAAGTTGGAACACAGAGGAACTTATTTTGTTATGTTAATGGGCATGTATCGGAGAGAGTTTACTTTGCGTTTCTATTTAGAGTGGTTTATGCGAAAGGAAGGGATAGGTGACTGGTTAGTTTGATTTTGCTATGGGGACCTCCAAGGGATAACTGTTGTGATGTTGTACAGTACCTCTGTCGGTACTCGGGGTCACATGATATACGTGCGCTATTAGATTTACATAATTTATTATAATTTAGTTATTGTTGAAGTAAACGATTTTTATATTCACATATAAATATTTAAAAACATCAAAATGACGGTTCAAGATGAATAACTGCGGAAGGAGAATCTACTTATAGCACAGAATTAGGTTGCTATCCAAGTCCGTGCTAATAGTAAGTAAGATCGCATAACAAAAATATTTTTTTAATCGTAATGTTTCAACAGTTCATGTTTTCACAAGATGTTGATTTAGAATGTATGATCATGCAACAACTTTTGTCTATAAATAATTAATTTTCGACTTCAGATAGAATCGGAATACGCATTGAAAACGGGAAAAAGTCATGTATTTACGTTGTGAAAATGGACAAAAAGAACTGATTAAAGAAACGTTATCTCAACATGAAAATCGTTCATTTACAAGCATGCTTTAATCTCTGTAAAGTATTAAAAACATATAATTATCAAGTATCTCAGCACATTACATATCTGACACATATTCTACATGTACATGTAGTGGTATTGCCATACAGTTTATTGTGTGTGATGGCTACTATGACTTACTAAGCGTTAACGTATGAAGACAGTGAAGGTGGGAAAGAGAGTATACATTAATATATATAATGTATGGTCTAGAAAATAAGTGGTCAAAGAACATGAGTTGTAATAAATACAATTACAAATAAATCTCTTGTTTACACTTGTCAATGCATATATATACATTTAAAACATTTGAAAAAGGATATTCGTCTCGTGAATATTCCTTCTTACAGAAAGGTTTGTGCCACGGTTAATGAAAGGTGTTTAGCCCCGTACCTATTTGTACCGGTCACATTCCGGTAATAGATATACTTTCTGATGATGAATACTTACTGCTTAGGGAACTCAATAAGTTCCAACGCGGACTTAGAAATCATATTCCTTGGTTTCACAGTGCGATAAGAAGTTGCAGTTGCCTGACGACCCCTCACTGGGGACCCCTTTGGAAACTTCGCATCTCGGTCAGACCACCTGTGTTTAATGCCTCATTTCAAAACCGTCACTTGACGTTATTGGCGCTATTTTTAAGAGGGCTTTCATGGACAATTCAATTGCTCCAACTGGAAATTTGAAACGGACTATGGATATTTTCATAGCAATGTAACTTAAATGGAAGGGCATACAACACATACATTCATTAAAAGAAATATGGCTCTTCACGTGAAGTCTCTTTAATCGCTCACATGGTTCTCTATTTTTAATTAGAAACCATACCAATTTATCAAAGGAGAACAAGATATACTTACACCTGTAGGAAGGACTTAATCCTTTTGGATTGGCAAGATACCAAGGACAAGAGTGTGTGGGTCACTCCTATTAGAGTGAATGTCTTCGCCCCTTCGTGCATAGTAATTTATATGTTTGTTGAATTGTGGAGAGACTCACTGTTTCCTTGTAATAACCAAATATCCATAAAAGAGTAAATCTATGTGAAATCTAAGTAAATATACAGCCATGTAAATCTATGTGAAATCCAAGTTAATATATAGCCATGTAAATCTATGTGAAATCCAAGTAAATATACAGTCATGTTAATCTATGTGAAACCTAAGTAAATATAACAGCCATGTAAATATATGTCAAATACAAGTAGTACAGCCATGTAAATCTATGTCAAATACAAATAAATATACAGCCATGTAAATCTATGTCAAATCAAAGTAATCACGTCCTCACTTCGAGAGTTCGGATGAGGACAAAAAAATCACAAGGCACTTTATTTTGTATTTTGTATTTTTTTACGGTCCATCGACAATTTGAGTCATTTAGGGCCAGACAACAATGTAAAAAATAGACATTCACAAAAAAACTGAATACATAAAAACCAGAAACAAAAGGATAAAATTTGTAAAGATGTCGAAATATATCAATAGCAAACGATATATCGTATTATACAGATTAATTGAATGTAAATAGTCATAGATTGATTGCACATAAACTGTATCAAATAAACGTTTCATAGAGGGTACATTATAAAATCTGTCACGTATTTGTTTGAAATCAGCGATCAGCTCGAAAATCGTACTTGCAAATGCTTGATCTATTTCATCACCAAGGGCTTCGTCTGGCTTTAGGTACTTTCCGTACATCATCAGCCGCGAGCCTCTGCGTTGAAGCAAATGAACCACCTCTAAGCGAAAGAAGAACAAGATTATTACCACAGTTTGCTTATCAGTTAAAAGCAAACCCAGCAAAAAAAAACAGCTTTCCAGTCAGTATTTTATCCAAATTACACATACCTTTCAAACGCAATGAGAAATTAATTCCATCTTTTGGCGTACGGCTTCAAAAATTGCAGGAACATTCAAATTTAGACCCACAATCAGTCGAGATTTTTACAATACCTTATATTCCACCATGGACAATTCAGCTACTCGAAATAAATTTAGAATTACACAATTATGTAAAATCTCGCACTCTGCCGACTCAATACAAAAGTTCTTTTTCAGAGTACATCTCGAGATTTCCTTTACATAAAATCTCATACACCGACGGTTCTAATGTCGATGAGAAAATTGCTGCAGCATGCGTTGTCGGCACGGTGTCTTCTTCCTTCCGTTTACCTAATAATGCTTCTATTTCCACAGCTGAAGCAACTGCACTTGGTCTAGATTTGGATGAAATCGAAAAGAATAAAATAAAAAAAAAGCTATTATCTTCTCCGACTCTTTATAACAACTACAAAGTATTGAAAACCGGAACTTAAACAACGATCTCGTACAAAATATTGCCCTCCGTATTAACATATTTTTAGTTTTCCGTCAACTGATCTTGACTTGGATTCCCGGCCATGTCGGAATAAATGGAAATGAAAAAGTAGATAGAACTGCTAAGGCAGCACTTAACCCCAATACGAAAGATGCCTTATTCTGGTTTTAAACCTCAATAGCTCATTTTAATTTTTAATTAAAACCGATAAGCAACATAAATGGTTTGAAGATAAAACAATAAGTTCAACCTAATGTATGTTCATATGCAATAGGTAGAGCAGATCTCAGAGAGGAAGTTATCCTCTCGCGACTACGCATATGCCATACCTACATCACACATAGCTACATTTTGCATGGGGAAGACCAACCTTGTTGTCATGCCTGTGATATGCCATTTACAGTCAAACACTTTACGACTGAAAGCACTTTAATGAGCGTTACCGAAACCATCGAATTTCATATCACACCAAAAACATAGCAAATTTCACTACGAGATCCTGATGGCGAC